CTCTCTCTCTCTCTCTCTCTCTCTCTCTCTCTCTCTCTCTCTCTCATAAACGCACGCGGTTGAGGCTCGATCAAGCGCGACCGGCACTCGACGCGCGCGGCTCCGACCGCGACACCGACCGCCGCGACCGACCGCTGGCTGCTGGCTGGCTGGCTGACAGGCAGGCTCAACGGATTTGCGCGTGCCAAAGCGGGTGATTGACCGGGTTAGACGCGTCAACGTGGATCAAGGTTCGCAGGCGGGGAGGTGGAATAATTCGGGAGATGGAACAGTTCGATGAGTTATCCGTTATTCGCGGTCGCACGCACCGAAGGTGGGAGAGATGTATGCCTCGGAAATCTCGGATCGGGAAGGAACGCGCGAGGAACGAGACGAAGCGAGACGCACCTTGGCTGTTTAGATAGAAGTCGGCCGTCTAGAGACCGGGCCGCAAGGTTAAGCCAGCCACCGCGGATAGGGTCGATAAGGGGTTTCCCCGCCGTCGCCGTCGCCACCGCGTCCACGCCAGTCCACGCGCCGTCGGAAGGCCGAGTTTCAGTCTCAGGCTGCTCGGCTGGCGTCGTCGCTGCGTCGCGCCTGTAGTGCGGCCTTACTACTCGGCGGCGGCTGGCGACGTCGTCGCTACGACCACCAGACGTCGGCGGCGCGACGTCATCGCCACGACGACAGCGATTCGTGACGCCCCTCGCGCGCGCACGACGGGGGTCGCTCTCTCCCTCGAGGAGAGAGAATTTCCACCGTTTCGCGGCACGTTCCGCTTACCGGGGGTGCGGGCGCGCGAATGCTCCACGAATGCCGCCGCGCGGAGCGGACAGCCGATAGAGAGCGATAGGGATCGATCACGCCGGCCACGACGGCGCTCTCGCACGGTCGTCCGCCGAACTGACGAGCCACCCTGAGAACTGCGGGCTCACCGAACTCGCGGCAACCTCCTCTCGCCCGCGCCACCGACCCCTTCCGCCCACCCCTACTATTCCACTTGACTATCCTTCCACTTTGCCAACCTTCCCGCGACTACACCCCTCTTCGTCCACGGAGCACCCCCATTCCCACGCCAAGAGGCGCTCCGTTTACCCCTCTCTTCCATCCCCCGCTGGCCCCGCTGACC